TGATATGCAGTATACAATTACAGTTGGACCTTGGAAGTTTTAACACAAAATGCACAAAAAGGGGAAAGAGACAAGGAAAGCAAAAGTCTGTTAATAAATTAGCTGTTCTTCACAGATGGCTATCAGAGGTGATGAGATGAACATAAAGAAAATGACTGTGACTCATGAATGTGATAAATGCCTCCTTCTCTTTATCAAGATGAACGAACTCTCAAACACAGCAATAAACCTATACTCACTGTCACACTGAAAAATAAAAATGGACTTGGGGTTTTGGTCAGGAAAATCTCCTGATGATGCTTTACCAACTGCAGTTGTGATTGATAACCATACACGTGGAGTTATGATGGTCCTTCTGAAAGGTTAAACGTTTCATGACAATTAAAGTTGGGATAGTTGTATTGCATCCTATTTTATATAATATATGGAGTTTTGCTTTATTACTGCATTCACGTTTGCTATGTTGGATATTACAGATGCATTTAAAGTCATCTGAAAGGAAACAAGGTCAATGAAAGTGTTGAAACCTTATGAGATCAAAGAGATTTTACAGAATCCACCTTTATAAGAATTCATCAAGGCTCTAGAAAACAAGGCTTTATTACAATGTTTCTTTTGTACATTATGGTCAAAAAGATCTATTCTCTGTATAAATCACAACAGAATTTTATCTTTCAGGAGGAGGACAAGACTGTGGTCATAAATGAAAGCACCTAGGATGTCCAAGCACTAAAGCATAACCATGAAGAAGCCAACTCATGAATTGTTTTGCATTTGGTGTTTTGTGGTTTTTCTGGACTTCATTTGAATCAACTAAATATGGGTCATAGTTATAAAAGGAAAATGCCAATATTTTAAACCCGGACCAACGTCTTTTACCTCCAAAATGAGGTCTTGGTTCTTTGGGTAAATGTTTAACAGGAGTTTAGATATAACTTTATTTTCTTAATTATCTGTAAAAGCTATATAATAAAGATTCATAGCACTAAGTATTCAAAGTTAGTAAGCTGTCTTCAAACAAATATTCGTGAAATTATTTTTATTCTTTTATTAACTAATGAAAACCAGCAATGGTGCTAATTCTATGCTGCTAAGAGTAAAAAAGTTTCTGATCTATCAATCCATTGTGATACTAGGTGATCTGTAAAGTATACAAAATAATAAAGATAAACATGCAAGGTTTACATTGAAGTTATTCAAAATATTTTTTGTAGATTTAAGGTCATTCTAAGGGTACAATAACATTAATTTATACTGGACTATAAATATCAGGATATTTGAACCAACAAATATGTTCCTGAATAAACCCAACAGGTTAATAAATAAGAGTTAAACAAACGTTAAAGGATCATGCACACTACATGAAGTATTAATCATTTAACAACTGTAAACATGATTTATTCAGTCTTTTGGTAGATTATATTTTTTAACTACCTTACACTTTGTAATTTGACAATATACACCTGATACATATTTATATTTAGAACCTCAGAATATTATGTAAGAAAAGTAAAGTTTTATGAAAAATAAATCCTTGTATAACAATGTAACTTTCACCATTCTATGAAACAAGTTTGGACCAATAATAAAGACTGAATACATTACAAACAATTCTATACACATCTTTTGTTGTTTAGACAATTGTAATAAGTTAGTATTTTAAGATTTGTGATGTATAACTTTAGGTACATAACTTTGTCTTTAAAGCCCTTTGCTTCACATCTTTAAAAAAAAATGTATAATTATTGACCTGATGTCTAAGTAGAGGTGAATGTAACTGAATTCCCAGTCAAACACAAAGCAGTTGTATCATTTGTCATCAGCATAGAACAAATAATATAGTTTTAGGTTATAATTACTTCCACCACTCAAGAGAAAACTAAATGGTATTTTTCCACTGTGGATCTTCTGATGTATAATTACTGCTTATACATTACATCTTTATAATTTTTCTCTAGTGTTTGATACCTCACACTTTTTAGTGTAACATTAGCTCTAAATTATTTGTTGCAGTCTATACAGTTATATAATGTATTTTCAATATGCATCATCAAGTTTAGTTGACTAGTCATACCAAGTTCTTTACCACAAACACAACTATATTGTTTTTCTCCAAATATTTCTTGTGAAAATCTCTGCTACACACAAAATAAATTATTGTTTTACTCCAGTGTGTACTTTTTCATGTTTTTTTAAGTTACTACTGCTTCCAAATACTTTGTCACACATTACACACTTGTAGGGTTTCACCCCAGTGTGTATCTTCAGATGTTCTTTTAAGTTACTGTTTGTTGCAAATTTTTTTGCCACACACAACACAGTTGTATGGTTTCTCTCCAGTGTGAATACGCTGATGTTTTTTGAGGTCACTACTGCTACTAAATTCTTTGTCACATACAATGCAACTGTATGGTTTCTCACCAGTATGTACCTTCTCATGTAATTTTAGGTTACTATTACTTCTAAACTGATGGCCACAAACTACACAACTGTATGGCTTCTCTCCAGTGTGTATCTTCTCATGTGATTTTAAGTTACTATATGTTCCAATTTCTTTGCCACACACTAAACAACTGTACAGTTTCTCACCAGTATGTATTCTTTCATGTAATTTTAGGTTACTATTACTTCTAAATTTTTTGCTACAGACTACACAACTGTATGGTTTCTCTCCAGTGTGTACCTTTTCATGTGATTTTAGGTTACTAATACTACCAAATTCTTTCCCACACACAACACAACTGTAAGGTTTCTCCCCAGTGTGTGTCCTCAGATGCCTTTTTAGGTGACAATTTGTTAAAAATTCTTTGCCACACACTACACAAGTATACGGCTTCTCTCCTGTGTGTGTCTTCTCATGTGATTTTAGGTTACTACTTGTTCCAAATTCTTTCCCACACACAATACAACTATATGGTTTTTCCCCAGTGTGTGTTCTCTGATGCAGTTTTAGGTTACTATTATTTTTAAAGTTTTTTCCACAAGCTACACAACTGTATGGTTTTTCCTCCGTATGCACCCTCACATGCATGTCAAGTTGACCTTTACTGCCATATTCTTGACCACACACAAAACAACTGTATAGTTTATCTCCAACACAGGGAACATGACATTTTTTAAAGTCATTTTCTCTTATAAGTGTTTTACCAAACAAACCATCACTGCTGAGTTTCTGAGTGTTGCTTCTCTCTGTATTTGGAGTCTGATCCACAAGAAACTGTCTTCCACACTGGCTATTTACAAATGTCTTTGGATCTATAATAAAAGATGAAAGGAAGCTATTATAATAATCAAATAAAGAATCACATGAATTTCATATCTTCATTAATAAATTTTGTAATTGTCCAATAAACTAACTCTTAAAAAGTACATAAAGACACCATTTAATTCTTCCATTAGAGGCTGGGTGGATTCCACCCAGCTCGTAATCGTGATAGTATCCATGAGAGTAATTATACTAGGATTTTTGATAATGTACGTACATCTTTACAAAATTTTGCAGGTTATTGGTAAACTTTACAAGGATTTTGTACACAAAATATCAGGTTTCTAAATTAAGTATTACAATTTTCTCATAAACCTTTTTCTTTCAGAATATTGACTATTCAACATGCAAAGTACTTTTGATTTTAAGCACTTTAATGCATTAGAACATGTTCAAATTTCACATGCAAAATATTTATAATCTCCAGATAATTATCAAATTTTTTGTAGAAAACTATTTATTTTATTTGTTATTTTCACTACTGTATTTCTTTATTGGTTGTTTTAATTTGACCAACTTCGTAACCTCGATAAAAAATTAGGAAAAAAAAATATAAATTAAGCTTTGTTTGTTCTAGAATGACTACAAATTGTAACACAAAAACACAAATGTTTAGTCTAAATAGCTTAAATCTCATAACATTATACATTTATATATATATTTATTATTTTTATTATATTGACCTTCCAGCCGTGCTTGACTAACAATACAGAAGTTACAATGATGCAGCACATGTGCATTTGTGTTACAGTATTCAATAATATATAACTGACCTTTAATCTTTACAAAGTGACCTGTCTTGGCTGTGTTTTAGTGGACTAGTATTTTGTAAAATACAGTCACATTTCAATTATTATACATTATTACTATACAAATAAGTTCTTAAACGTATTTTTCTTAAAACATAGAAAAGTAAATAAAGAAGTAAAGCAAACAATTATCTTTTCTAGTTATGACCTTTGTACTCATTGGCTGCGTGTCATAGGTTGCTAAGCCTTATGAAATTTCCCATGTGGAGAATGTGAAAACATTTTTTTTTTAGATTTTATATATACATTTTAAATAACCAAAAAAATCATAAATTATTATATCAATACCTTAGAATTCCACTATAATTTATCAAGCATAGTAACTAAGCTGTATTTGGGTTTAAAAAGGATATGAAATTTTGAGCTCACTAAAGACTTACCTTATCGTTTGAAATCTTATGTGAAAAGAATGAGATTAACACAATAACACATCAGAATGGCTGAGAAAACCACTAGGATGACATTCTGAGATTTTGATTGGTTATTCATGTCATATATAGAAAAAAGTGTATATAAGGGATCAAACACAGAAATAGGTGGGCAAGCAGTCACTGTGTTTGATTCACTACAGGAGGGATATCTCAGCAAATAGAAAAGATAAGAGGTTCTTATTTTATATTCTAGCTTGTCAATATTGGTACTTTGAGTTCCTAATTTGTACGAAACTGTAGATTTTGTATTTTGACATCACAAACATTTAATACAAACCAGTGTTGCATTTAACACACCACGTGACACACAAAAATCCATGTTTAGCTGTGTTTTTAATTATTTAATTTTAAATTAAGAAATTAACTAACATATAATTCTAAAATTTGAATTATAATCTACAATTTGATACCATACTTATTGATATAGATTCATAAAACAGTAGTTCAATAACATATTGAATGCAGGTCAACAAACGCAATGACATGGGCTTTGACACCTGACCCGTAGCTATAGGGTTAAGCTGATGGATAGCATCCATTCAGTGGATATTCTCATAAAAAACAAAAGACATATGGCTCATACACACAAAAAGAACATACTCATAGACATCCACAGTACTGTGCAAAAGTGTAAGGACAAAGTTAAAAATTAGATTTCAGGCTACTTTCAAATAACAATGGATGGCAAATCACAGGTGAAACTTCAAAATTTTATTAAGCTTCATATTTAGTACAACAGAAACACAGTGGAAGTGCTTGAGTTCAATAACAGTAAACATTTTGTGTGTCCCATTTTGCTTTAATAACTGCAGACAGTCTTGCAGGCATTGTTGCAACATTTTTAATCAAAGTGTCCTTTGGGATTTTACTCCAAATGTCTCTAATATACTCCCATAAAGTTTCTTTGGAAGTAACTTTTGATTTGTCAAGTTTTTGATCTATCAAATCTCAGATCTGCTCAATTGGGTTGAGATCAGGGCTCTGTGGGGGCCATTGCATCATTTGAGTGACTGCAGCAGCTTCTTTCTTAGCTAAGTAATTTCTGCATAGGTTGGATGAGTGTTTGGGGGTAACTTTCTTCTTGGTAGTAGAATTATTGACCAATAATATGCAAACCACTGGGTATACCATGACAGATTAGTATCTGATGGTACTTGCACTGGTCCATTATTCCATCTATTTTACAAATATCTCCTGTTGCCTCAGCAGAAAAACACCCCCAAACCATCACACTGCCTCCCCCATGCTTCATGGTAGGTGCTATGCATTGAGGTAAGTATTTTTCACTTTTCTTCTGCCGGACATACAACCTATGCTTTGAACCAAATATTTCAAACTTGGATCCATCCATCCATAACACCCTTTTGGAATCATCAACAGTCCAGTTTTTGTACTTTTTAGCAAATTTCAGTCTCTTGACAATACTTGGAGATTGAAGTAAAGGTTTTTTAAATGCTACACGACTAAATACTCCATTCTCATTGAGTCTTATTCATACTGTAGATCTGGATACTATTTTGTCATTTGGTACATGGTAACTTATCTCATGCTTGAGATCAATGGCAGTCTTCCTTCTGTCCCAAAGGTTGCATAACCAAAGACACTTAACATCAGTATCATTGAGTTTAGGAGTTCTGCCTCTTCCTTTCCTATTTTCACATTTAACTGTCTTGGTCCCACGATCTAGGGTATACTTGACAAGTGTACAAGTCTGCAACAATTTTTGGAGAGTCCAACCAGCATCATATAAAGCTTTTATGTAAACTCTGTTATACTGACAATTCTCTATGCTTTTTGGGCCGTGGAATGACAACAAAACTTAATATATATATATATATATATAGTGTTAAACACTGTTTTTATCAAAGTTTATTTGTGGAGTACTATTAAATTGACTTCTTCTAAAATATACCGGTACCATATGATAGCTTCCTTCTATATAGTTAAGAATGGGGTACCATGATAGTTATTTCAGACCCTAAGTTTAATCAGTATGTTCATTCAAGCAGAACTCTCATGACATGCCCTCGGTACAAGTATATGGGAATTCTAAAGAATGATAAGTATTCTCACTCTGGCTCATTCAGTTGTCAACAGGTATCAGTGAAGCATTACCATAGTGTTGAAATTTACATTCTGTAATGGCATGGAAAAATTAGCCCCATAATATGGAAAGAATGACAAAATATTCTCTTGTCCTAATACTGCCAAACTAGGAACAGTTACAAGTTCAGTAAATATGTACATAAAACTTCTGAAGAATAACAAGTGAAAGATATAGGGTTTTTACTCTAACATCTTGTCACATAAGCAATAAAATCTAAAGAACAATGTAACACTCTAGCATAGAAAAACAGAAGAAATTATCAGCAACACGAGTACAAAGTAGGTTACAGGTCACGTTGTAGGTTTCCAACAACTTAATTATGTACAAGCTCATGATTTGACACTGTTTTGTCTCAACTAAAAAACGAATTCTAATCATGTTATTCTAAATTTATTGTCATTACACTTTCACAACAAAATATATGCATATAATGTACTTGTTAATTAAGATATAAAAAAATGAAATAAAAACTGTATGAAGGAAAGTTAATATTAAAGGAGTCACTTTAGCACTGCTCTGAAAAAGGAAAACAAGGAATGTTTCAAGATTAAAAAAGCATTTCTATTAAATATACAAAGCACTTCCTCACCAGTTATATAGATTGTTAACAGCTTGTTAAAACGTAGCAGTAAAGAAATGAATTTCTGCAGTCCAACAAAAGTTTAACTACTGTTCAAGTCTATTAACTAATCATAAGACAGTGAAGTTAATTTATCATCAACTTTGTAAGCAACTGCACTAAATTATTTAAGTAATCATACTCTAATTATCATTTGAATGTAGGCTAAATAATAGTCCAAACATTTATTGATCAAAAGAGCTTAACAGAGCAAAATAGTGTAGTTCATTTATTAAAACTATTTCAGCAACTGTGCTTCATAATCTTTAATTAGCATGATATAATTATATGAAAATGGATTAAGTAATATTCTGAAATCTTGAACACCTATTGATCCACAGACAGTACAGTTGAGGTGTGAAGTATACTCCTACATGGGAAATCATAAGTTCTTATAAATAATAAGCCCTTTTATGTTATTTTCCTTTTGTGTGTGTGTGTGGGGTGGGGATTCATATGTTTTGCATTTGTATAAGAAGCATCTTGAAAAATAATTACTTACATCTTAAATCTAAAGAGGAACTGTAAAGATGGAATGTGCTGTTGTCTTGCTTAGATGAAGACATCCTTTAAACAGACATCCTGTGAAATTGGATATTGTCTGAATACATTCACCTGATACTTCAAAGGGTATTGGAAGATGTCAAAAACAGCAAGGAAGAACTATGTAGTGTTAAATATAGCATAAGGATAGACTAACAAAAGAGATGCTTAAGGTAGACTCCATATATATAGAATACATACAGAAAATTCACAAGGAAAAGTGGATGGTGCAAAAAGACATACAGAATTATTTTGTAGGCTAAATGTATGGAGTCCAGAAACAAGAATGGAGGTCGTAGAATAGAGTATGTGGTGTTAGTATACATTTAGAATAGAGAATTACTGGATAAAATTAGAGAAGTATATCTAGAAAGTGAGGGTAAAGTGATTAAAGTCGGGGCCTAATTCCATGGATTAGAAGAGTTATTTCATTAGGACTTTAACCACATATTTGGAACACATTTGCAAAATTAAAATGATCATCTAACTTTGCAGATGACTGCTTGAGCTTTACAGTATTATTGCTGTGGATCTTCCACTGTTTGTTGGAAAATATGGGTTTAACATACCATCATTGTTTAATTTGTAAACATTATATGCAACTCAATTCACTTTTTATTGGGGTGGGCAGTGTGGTTTTTCACTATAAATGCATAGATTCTCAAAAGTATGGGCCCTCTAATGTTTCTGTAACCAATGTAATCCAGCTAATATGGTAGTTTTCTCTTGGTGTGTAGTTTGATCTTCTATTAGAAAACTATGGCAGAAATATTAGCCATTAGACAAAAAAAAAACAACAACAATGGATCTAAATACCCTGTGTCATGCATTTTATGTTCTCTGAATTTTACATTACTCCTAAGACTTAATCTTATGAAGAACTCTCTCTATTCATCTAGTGTAGATATTTCAATTAACCAGATGTACCTTCTAACCCAGAATCAACTTCTTGCAATTCTTCTTGAAATTCAATTTCTTTTTTCACACTCAAAGTATTATCTTTGGAACAATGCAGATCATCATCATCACTTTCACTAAACTCAGAAATAACCTCATCTTCTTCTAACACATCAGGGACACAAATGTTCTGAAATACAAAAAACACATTAACATATCAGTAATAAAAACAACTAGTGGTATCACTGAGAAAACCAAACACAAGAGTTTTCCCAACTTGTGAGTTATACTTATGCAGTTACTCAGACAAAATTTCTGTACTTCCTATCAGAAATAACCAACTTATTTTCATAAATGCTTTAATCAGAATAATAAGATATTAATCGATAAATGCAAAATAATAATGTGGTGCTTAGTATTTTCTCCCTTTTTATCTGTGCATAGGGCTGTGCTAAATAGAACTCAAATCTAGAACAGTTCTGGACTTTCAAAAGTCCAGAATTATTTTCTTGTTTGAGTCCTAAATCAAACTTTATTTCTAGGATTTTAATGGCAGATTCAGCGCTTCTTCACACTTTTTTCAGGAATGAAGTCCTAATTTTATGCCATTTTGTTTTTCTTCTGTCTCTTAATTCAACCAATCAGTGCATGTGTTTAGACTCAGACGGGACCAAAGGCAGTTAGTTCAGGCAATACTATCAAGTAATTGTTCATATCATGTGATCATTAGCATGCACTCATTGCTGTGAAAGTGAATAAACATACACTAGTGCCTCAATTATCTGCACTGGTCTGGGGAAAGCAAAAAATCATGGATAACAGAAACAGCAGCTAATCCAAGCACTAGTGTATCTCACTAGTTAGTCCATTGTTTAAAATCAATAAAATTTTTCAATATATTAAATTTCCTTGTTTTCAACTATAATCTTCTTATTGTTGTTTAATCACACTATCTTGAAAAATTATAAAAGTTGTCATAATCATAAAGGCCAAGTGACAATCAGTCAGTCACATTAAATTACTCCAAATTTTGGGAGTTACACGAGTCCAATTACATTTTTTCTCCCATAATACTTTCTCTTTTGATTGTCTGTTCCCATTTGAATTAAATTTAATCGCTAGCATCGGCATAAATAAGTCCTAAATTTCATCACATTTTCTGCTATAGACACGGAAGTGCATTTGCCTTTGAAAAATAAGTCAAAAAATTAGTACAAATCTATGCTTGGAAATTATTATGAAAAAGCCTTTGTTAAAACAGACTGAAGATACCAATTATCTGAAAGGAAGAGGGCAATGCATAACTGGGTGATGCCCCAACACAACCTGAAGATGCATCTTTGGTTAAAGGATGCCAACCATGTAACATACAACAGTAGACAACTGAAGTTGAGTGAAATCTTTAAGAAATTTTAAAGTGTATTTTGTGTTTTTGTATACTATGTTTTTAATCATTAATCAAATAAAGTTAACCAAGCTACAAATATTTTGCATTCTTTTCTTAACAGCTAAAAATAAAAGAGGCAAGGCTAGGTTTGAACCGGCCAACTTACGATTTGAACTCATGCCAGATCCTACATGTGAAAACCCTGGTTATGATGCAACAACTGAACTTTTGCAAACAAAATTAATTTCTGAGTGACAATTTCTCCAAAACATGTAAATTATTGTTTAGAATTGTATAATTATTTTGAGAAAATTTGGGGAAAAGAAAAAAGCATGGACAATCGAGGCACTAGCATAGCCCCTATTTCCCGGTACAAACAGTATTGAAATTAGGTTAGGCACACAGACTCCCGAGTTTTTGGGCTGGCTCCTAACAAAGCAAATGTAACTATAAATTACTAGTTGAAATCCAATGTTAAAGTTAAAAACTACTAAATACTACACTTAAAGGTCTCAATATATTGACATAAAAGGTCTAAAGCTATGTACAATGGAAAATTTGCCTAAAAGTTAACAGATTTAACAGCTAAAAAAAAAAGAAGTTTAAAAGCTATCTCAACCACATATCAGTCTAATTCTGTGTAACAGGGGCAAAACTGGCTTTTTTTTATACAAAAACAAAATACACAAACAAAGCCAAGTTTGCACATGAAGCACACCTCACATTCAATATCAGTATCCACTGGGAGTTGACCTTTAGGACACAGCTATCCCTGACCATTATCCGATTCACTGACAGAAAAAACACCTTTCTATTTTTGGATGTCACTTGCTATTTTTCCTGCAAGAAAGTTGGTTAATTGCCTATTATAAAACCCACATCTTGCATGCTTTCAAAACAGGAAAAGTTAAAATGTTACTTGAGCAACTCTGCATCCAAACTGGAAACTCTTAAAAACACAATAGTTTTAAAAATATACTTATTAACTAAGGAGGTAGCAGGCACATAGTACTACAATAATTCCTGATGTACAGTTTACCTTATTTTTCTCGGTTGTTTCATTGCAGATCTCTTCTTCCTCCTCTTTTACTACACCAAATTCAAAAATGGCAATTGAAGATCCTCCTTCTACAGTAGCAGCTTTCCCAGTTGCTAGAGGTATAAATATTTTTGTCCGAGTATTATTCATAAAATATTTTAGTGCATTATTACAGCTATTGCTAAGTTTACCCAACTGTAAATACACTTTAATACTGAACTTTTAAAACATAAAACACTATTAACATTAATAAGTTTTTTGGTTTTACCATGACATAAATATCATTACTTTTTGTACTTCCTCACCATATTGTCATTGAGATTATATCCCATTCTTGCAATCTACAATCTCTTATTATTTGCAAAATGATAGGTATGGGCTATGTGGCAACAAACTGCATGAACAGGGCATAAAAGTCTCTTTGGATCCGATTGAGCATAGAAGAATGGGAAAGAGCAGAAGGGTAGAGGTCTCCTCCCTGAGCAGCTGAAGACAGAGGGAGGGAGGACCTGTCTGGAAAAGTAAGTACACGAGGGTGGTGGAAAGGGCATGGGATAAGTCGCCAGCATAACGATTTGAACAATGGTGACCAAAAGGGAGAAGAAAGAAGATGTCTGAAGAGAAGGGGTAAAAAGTTGCTGGTTGCCAATAGGTAAGAGTGTGCTGTATGACACTGATGTCCCAGTCGAGCATGGGAACAGGGTGAGGGTGTCTATGGATAAGGAAGGACCAGAACAAGGTGGAGAGAACAGTGGAGGAAACACTTTGCAGTACTGAACAAGCAAAAGGATGAAAAGAAGGCTACCTGATAACCAGCAAAGGTGGAGACAGCTTAACCCTGTAGAACAGCCTAGTAAAGGAAAGCGAGGTGTCTGATGCAGAATGATTAGGAGAAAGGTAGTAACATATGGACCAATGTCAAAGCCACATCCCCCATGCAGGTAGAAGGACTAGGTAGAATGAAGCCCAGCATAAGGAATAAAAGGATTACTAGATGGGAATGTACAGTTCAATGGGTGATGGACTGAACTAATCCAAACATGAAGGTGAAAGGACAAGATCTTATGAAGGAAATGAGACAGATGTTGAAACAATAGAGTGTATAATTGGCAGGGGAAGAGACGGTTGGGTTTTCAGGTGGCATAGAAGAGGAAACCAAGGTTAAGCCAGCCAGAGGGGTACCACAAAGAGTAAACAACAAATAATGTCTTCAGTCAAAACCAGGATCCAAGGTAAAGGCTGGAAAGACTGGTGGGCATTAGAAAGAGAGATGTCAACTAGGCAACAAGGAGTGGAGTCCCCAAGTGAGCAATGCCAATGTAAGCTGGAGGAATTGTTTGATGTCCATGTGCCAGATGTAAAATTGACATTCATGGATGCTTCCCACCAAGAGGGGAATCATAGGTGAATGGGTGTATAAACAGTGTTTGTGGAGGTAATGGGACATGGAGGATGATACTGGATCAATCCAGCCATCCATACAAATAGTAGAATGGAGGAAGGAACAGAAGAACCACTGAGGTCAAACAATCTCGTGAGGCATACCTCTGGTCATGCAAGAACCAATGGATGTAGTACATATGTGTGTGTCCCAATTATTTCAAGGCCTATATCTCACAGATATAAAACTGTTCCCTGTTCCAGTGAATAAGATATTGAGTGGGAGTGAGGAAGAAGGAAAGTAACTTCCCTAAACATCACAAATCTCGTTAAATTGACAAAGAAAAATATGTCTGATGTGTTCATTGCGAGGAACAAAGATCACAAGTGCGAAATCATAGATGGAGCTAGTGTGCAGGGAGGTTGTGTCACCCTCTTATTGATGAAGGACTTTTGCTGCATAATAATGTCATTATGCAGTAGCACAATTCACAGGAGTGGGAATTGCCTCAAGGCTAGTGGCATGCAAATCTCTAAGGCAGAAGCACTGGGAAGATAGCTTTCTGTGTGAAGAGGTATGTATTGCATCAAAAGTTAACATTTTTCTTTCCTGAAAATGTATTCCTGATAGATACTTACCTCTCTTCACACAGAAGCTATATCTTGCACGTCTGTTTTTGAGATTACGTACATGCCACTAGCCTTGAATTATCTCCTACTTAAATCACATGTTTTGACTTGAACTGCACTAGTACATGATTTAATCATCATGTGGCCACAGTCCTCCACCAATAAGAGTGTGACATATCCTTCATGCATAGTCGATCCCCATAAGCAGTTGCACTCAAAATTAACTTCATTCTTAGATAGAGCAGAATAACATGCACCAGTAGTGGGGAAAAAAGAGTGGGAATACATTTTCAGCTAAAGAAAATGTTAACTTCCAAAATGATCCACTTACCTCTCTACATACAGTTACTAGAGTCTTACACTGATGTGGTGGTGGGGCCAATGCAAATGACAAAACTTAGAGGAGCATTCAGAACAGGTGTCATTATTCAAGGGGGGTAGCACCCACAGGATAATCCATCCTTCTCAGCTGGAAGTATGAAAGGAGAAAGACAAAAATGAGACAATGTGTTGCAGAAATGGGCAGAAAAAAAATAAATGACCAATCAACCTTTTCACATAACAAATCAGATGGACATGATGCATAGTACAGTTAGGGCAATAATCAAACTGTATGTTTTTTATGTGTTCTGTTGTACAATTTACTCCCCATACATATAAAAATGGGAGAACACTTTGCTTCATGCAACCTTTCAAAACCACTAGGAAATTGGTGTAAAAGAGAGTAGAGGTGATCTGCACTACACTGATATGGACACCTCTGCCCTACTTCCCTATGCATTCTGCTGTTCACTCAGGTTCACTGGAAGAATTGCATTATTGATCAAGAACTCTCCAAGTTGTCCACCCTATCAACTAGGAACTGGGAATGACAACGGTGAGTCAAGGGATGAAGGGATATTGTCAGTGAGTGTCAAACTCTAAGGAAGAACAAATGATCTAGATGAAGTGCTGAACCCAACTAATAAGAATGATGACTAAATATCCCCAGATGAGGAGGGTCACAGCCAGAATAGAGGAATGCAGGCATTGAGAAAGGGAGTCGTGTACTTCAAGAAACACCATATCACCTGAATTGGCTACAAAAGATGACCAAGGTTGGAACAATCACTGTGGGTTGAAAACATTGAATGAGTAATGGGAGAAAACAATCTGTCTCCTTCCAAAGCTATGGAAGGAAAGAGCAGTCAGGGAACAAAAATAATTAAGAATTGTAGACCAGAGTACAGGTGGAATATAAGGCAAAAACAATGGAACAGCAATGACCTCAAGCCAGAAGGAGAAGAAAAGAGCCTTCAAGGAAAGTTGGGAGAAAGAACAAGGGGCCAATGGTTAAAATGGGATCTGGATGAGAGTCTAAAGAACTACAAAAATGTCCTATCAGGCAAACGAATCAAAAGTGGAGAAAAAAAAAAGAACAGAAGGATAGGGGAAGAAAGGAAGGAGCAACAGCAAAAGAAAAAAGGGCAAAAGGTGGCTGACAAGGCTGCACAATATCTTACCATGGTGTAGACTGACTATCTCTGCACAAACAGCCTGGTAAAGAAGTGTGAATGATAAGCAACAGATGGATGATCCAGAGTTTCTGATAGACCAGTGGTGATAAAAATGACACTTGCATTGGGAAAAGAGAGAGTGAAAGGATTAATTTAGCAGTACAAAAGACAGACGACATAAAATGAAAAACTACCCATCAAGTAAGGAATGCATGATCCCTCACATGAAGATGAAGGGACGACACTTCTGAATGAAAAAGTAATGTAGAAAATTGGAACAAGAGGAACATCACTGATGGAAGAAGTGGTGGTGAAGAGAAAACCAACACAGGTGGCCAATAAGGTGCTAACAACAGAAATTTATAAGAAGTGTCATGGAACATAACCAAGACACATAAGGGAAGGCAGATATCAGAAAAGAGGAGATCAATATAGGTTGAAGGTGTCCACAGCCCAAGCAGCTGGAAGTGGGATCAGGGCCAAAAGAGTTGGGGTGATCAGACACTCCATGACTTGCAGACAAAATGGAGAAGGATTAGCCCATATAAAGTGTGAAGTAAAAAGGACTCCGAGGTGGATCACATATAGTTGGAATCAGGTACAACCAAGAAAATAAGACCAACCATTCCAAATGAACAACCTCTTGGAGGGGGAATGGAATGTAGCTGTATAAGTTCTACCAAGTAGAAGCAAAATGTAGTCAAATGTCCAGAAAGGAATGTAAATGAAGGCTGAGGCTGTGGACGTGCCAAACGAAAGTCTTCATGAACTGGTTGAAGACATAAGTAGCATAAACGATGTCAGAGGGTACAGCACAAAACCAGTATACTGTATCATAGTGGACAAACCAAAGGAAACATCATGACAATAGGTCTATTGGAATGTGCAAAAAGGTGTCTGAGACATGAACAAAGACTGGAGGAAAACAACCTGTTAACAGGAAAAAAACCCTTTCATTTGAAACTGGGGAAAACTCAAAAGTGGTTCAGAGAAAAACTACAATGAGTATTCAGGGGGACAATAAAGAGATGTAACCCATAGATAGGCAAGTGACTTTCTCTATGACATTCAAAGCCAAGAGCTCTGACATTGTGTTCTTAAGACAGTATTGGTGCTGAGGATTGGTAGGTGGAAGAACAACAATAGGAAAAAGAGAAGAGGAAAAAACATAAAGAGAGATAGTGGGTAAAACCTGAGTAACCCAATGGTTGGCTGTGAAGCGAGTCCACAGGATTAGCAAATAAGAAAAGTAGCCCCAGAGAATCCAAACTGATCAAGTACAAAGAGAGATAGTCACCAGCAGGTCAAAGACTAATCCTATAGAAAGGGAAATGGCAAAAGGAGGTAGTGGGGTGGGAAAAGAAAATGTGAGAGAGGATGAGGGTACACATGCTAAGGAACATGAGAGTATGCATGGGAATGGTCAAGATGGGAGAATAAAAAAGTGAGAGAAATATTACAGGAAGCAACTTCTTCCCGAGTCTCCTAGAGGAGAGGAACACCTCAAAGATCTTATGGAAAATAACGAGTGGGGTGAGACACAAACCATGTCGGGAGGACTGAGGAAGATGAAAGAAGGAGAAAAGGGTGTCACAAACGAATAGATT